GCTCTGATACTGATCAGCACCTTTTCTTAATGATCCTCCTACCCCCTCATGCATTAAGTAAGTGTCATCTTCAGTGTCTGAGCAGAGTGCTGAAATTGTTTCAAGCCATGGAGTGGTTTCAGTTGAGTAGCGGAGCTACTGGTGTTGATGGATTGATAGATTGAGCCCATATTGTTCTCCACTGGAACTGCAATTTTTTGTTGATGGTAACCCCAAGCCTCAGCTTCCAGCAGAGTTGACTGTTACCTTTTACTAACTCAGGTAAGAGGCAGGCTCTACAGAGATTTTTGCCTGGTCAAACTGTAGACAGGGTTTCAAGCCAAAAAATGGATAATTCTGACCAAGAGCATGGGAGTGGAAAAATATTTTTAAGTAGAACAATTAATGAATTTTTGTTTAAAAATGTCCTATTGTAGAGTGCACCATTGAGCTTATAAAGACAGATCACGTAAACATGCACACAGGATGCCCTAGTGTTAAAGTCATTGTTGTCCCTGGGATGGTTTGAAATGCTGGTGAGACCTATTTGGTGTAACTTGGCCTTGAGCAGAAGGCTGTCATCTTAGTCTGCATTGTCTCGTTCCAACTCCTCTGGCAGACTGAGCCAAAATGAGGCAAGTTCACAAACCCTGCAATTTAAACTAAGTTAATCCAGCTCCTGCCAGCAGAATTCAGTATAGGAGAGCCACTTGTGGGTCTGAGGTGAGGAAGGAAGTTACATTAACATTTAGAGTGGTCCTATATACGTTCCAGGAGTAACCTATTCAACCAGCATAGCTGAAGCTGGCAGAGGATTTCCCTGAACAAGATCCAAGGTCACAAAACAAGTTGGTTTGCTTTTGACTATGGCTCTGGTAAGAACATGCAGCAATTTTTTTTTCCCATGTTTTTTATCCATCAGACATGATTAAGAAGATCCATTAGAAGACTAAGAGTGCTTACGGCTGCTTAGGGATTACCAGAAGCTCCACGGTTAATGGAAAGAAAACAAAACAGTCAATACAGGGAAAAACAGCTCTTTGAACTGAGGAGATATGTCCTCAGTAGACATAGGGAGATGAGGAACTGTGAACATGCAGTTTTAAAGGCGCTTGAGTCCTTCCTCCTCAGGGTCAGTTTTTTCCTAAATCTTTCCCAGTGGATGTTTGCTTTCATAAGCAGTCTTCCCCTGGTCTTTGTTGTCCTTAGTTAAACCTTACAGCCAATGTCCTATCTAAAAGTTCCTTGGCAAGTTTAAATCCCTCTTCCTTTCTAAGTTGACAGAAGAACAGACTAATTTTTCATTATGATCTTTGGGATATTTAAAACATGTTGTGTCTTTCTTAATTTTCTCTATTTTTGTTAGATGAAGAAAAAACAAAAAAACCTCCCAGATTTTCAGTCAGTTTCCCTTTTCTGATCATAAACTTCTGATAAAATCTGTTGCTCTGTTTTGGTTTCTCTTCTTTGGATCTGTAGTGTAGTATTGAAAACTGAACACAGCTCTGCTAGGCATGAGGGAAGGTTTTTACATGAAAGATTTGGGATGGGATGAGGCTCTCACACTTGCCCTAACATCATATATTATCTTACCCCATGTCTGTACTTGCTGTTCTAGTTTTGCTCTAGCTTGTACAAAAGTCAGCGGAACCAAAGCTGGCCAAGGAGCAGTACAAAATAAATAACTGAGTGGAGAAATCTTTCGAATGTCTTTACATTTTCTGATAGGTTCATGGTGGAAATGGTTGTCAGATTTTACTGAAATCTATTTCTTAATTTAAGCAAATAATGTAGACTAGTGTTTAAACACACCTCTTCATAACTGCTTGGAATTTTTAGCTTGGTATCTGAGCGTTAAAATTTTATGAAGCTTGAACTAAAATTATGTGCAGTTGTTGGCATTAATGCAGCAGTCAGCAATTTTTAATAAATAGTATTTGTTACAAAAGCTGAGACCTCCTTTTGACCTTTTTGTAGTAGGTCCTAAAATCTCATCATTGTAAGGGAGGAAGAAAGGTGTTGAGTGTTCACATTTCTGTCTATAAGCAAAGAAGGAAGAAAGGGCTGTTATTTCTGGGTTTAGATATTGGGGAGGCTTTTTTCTTTTTCTTTTTTTGCTTTTTTCTTTTTTTTTTCTTTTTTCCTTTTTTTCCTTTTTTCCTTTTTTTTTCTTTTTTTTTCTCTTATTTTTCTTTTTACGGCAGTGAGGCGTATGATAATCCACGATAGACAAGGAACTGAGTAAAAGAGCAAGGGCTAAATAGCAGTATACAACCTAAGGAGCCCTGCTAGTTAGAAATCAGAATCTATGTCCAGAACAGCTTGGAAATATTAAGTCCAGTTCTCGTTGTCTGAAAATTTCAAGAGTGCTTAAATAATCAGGGTCAGAATAGTGGAACTTTTCTAAATGGTCTTTTTTAACCTGTTGTAGAAAAGTGGCATTCTGATCGAGGTTATGTTTCACACCAAGCTTGCTCTCCATAGTCTGTAATGCTGTGAAACAACACGGGACAATTGATCTTTGTTACAGTAGACCTCTGTTACAGACAAAATTCTGTTTGCCTGTACATCCATCTATTCCATGATCTCTAAATGTCAGTGGCTCTCAACACACGTTTTTCATCCAAGAAACAGTAATTGGAAAATAGTTCATTTACCACACAGCTGTATTTGTTGTTGCAGTAATAGCATATTATTTACCAGTGAAGACATTTAAAGCTTTCATACTTTTCCATCAGAGAGTATCCTCACAAATCCCTAATCTATTTATTTAATTTTCTCTAGATTTATATAAATATTGAAAAAGAGGCGCCTTTCTGTATGCTTAAAGCACCTTGGGCATAGCTTAAGTCTACATTGCAAACAGAATCTGAAAAGCATAGCAGTCTACATCTCTCTCCCCAGGAGCAAACTAGACAGCTCAGAAAGTCAAATTTCTCTTTCGCTCCCCCATTAAGAGTTTTCTCCCTTGACCATTCACTTTGTTTACCTTTGCACCACCTACTGAAACTGTTCTAAATGAGTGAATAAATTGTTAAGGAGTAGGGCATTTTACAGAAACGTGCATCTGTGTAACAGAGCGCACTTTGATAAAGTTGGAGAGTTGAAAGGTTGATGAAATCGACTTCGGAATACTTGGTGTGTAAGACCATGATAGCTGCACCAGTCCTAGTAGTATCTGGCTGACTGACCACCATACAGGACAGATCAGAAAGTAGTTACTTTCCAGTGGAGTTTAGTTTCATTGGTAAAAGATGGTGTCTTGGGTAATTGCAGGGTTCAGAGCAGTGAAAAGCTTCTGCTTTTTGGTTGATCAGTGGTAGTTTCTTTGTGTGTAAGAACGTTCACCAGCAAACCTTTGATTTTTAAAGAAACAAGGCAAGGTAGGTGATTTGGTCACTGTAGTTCTGAGTGAGGCTTTTATATTTTAATGCTCGAGAAGCTTACATACTTTTCTTCGTCTCCTGCACTAATAGATCTTTTAACTGTGGCAAAAATCAAAATCTGAGAAGCCTGGTTCCTTTTTGGTTGAGTTTGGCATCTTTCACACAATGCTTTCTGAAAAAAAGATGTTTGGGTTTTTTTGTTTTTTGTTTTTTTTTTGTTTGTTTTTTTTTTTTCTTTTTTAGAGGACATAGCATTAAAGGAAAACCAACCAGGAACATTGTGTCCATATTTAGAGATGTGAAATGCTACACCTCTGCACAGTTTTGCTCAGTGCTATAGTCCTGTGTTCTTTGTTGGTTTGTGATTCAGTGTTAAAGATTTATGTGATGTTTTCTATCAAGCTCAAAAAATGCTGGTGGCTATTTCATACTTTTACTGCTCATTTAACTTTGCCCCACTGAATAAATGTATAAAAATACACAAAGGCTTCTGTTACCTTTGCTGTTTATAAATGTTTTATATAACATGTTAACATGATTATGCTTGTTTAGTTGTGTTATGTCCCAGTTGGCAGAATTTTGTAATCTGTATCACTTGTGTGTTCATGGGTTATGTCTGATTTATGGTTTTAGAGGGCTGACCTGGACAGCTTTGGGGAAACTAAGACTTCTAAATGCAGGGCACACCAGGTAGCGCTTACTGCCATGACACAGGAAGGAGAGCTTCATGTCTAACATGCCAATTGCTTTGTGGTTTTGATGCCACATTTTAATCTCATCACATTGTCATATCTCTTGTGTACGCTTTTGGATTGTAAATTGTGAGGGTTTGCCACTGACCTTAGGCAGCTGGTTCATTGTGCTATCCCAGTATTTTTTTTTTTTATTTGCCTTTCATACCTTTTAGAAGCAGACAGTAGTTGGTGTCTCCATCCTGTCCCAGCTCTGTGCGTTACCAGGATTTAGTCTTGGTCCTTTATCTCCTGCTGTGGCTGTCCTGAGAAAGTGCATGCAGATGGGTGGTAGGATTTAGTTACCCTTCTAGTAGTCCTTCTGCTGTTCCTTGCTGTGCTTCCGTGCCCCAGCGTTGCCATTCATTTGCCACACAGACCAGTCTAAATGTTTTCATTGTGGTTCTCTGCAAAAGAGAGACAGATTCAGAGCTGCCTTAACATTCCCAGTTGTATTTTGACTTTATGGAATATGATTTAGATGAATCCTGCTGGGATAGGCAGAAGGGTGGCAAGATGTGGCAGGTTTTGCAGACTAGGAATATCATTTTGAAAAGGGAGAACATAATCTCTGTATTTCATTTTCCTTTACGAGCATCCCTGTGGAAGTGGGATGTGGCATAGCTCAACAACTAAACAATTCCTGTGTATAAAAGTGTGACTCACATAGTGTGTCATCATCCTTGTTTTGGCTAGTGGACTTCACCCCTGGAATAATGTATTTATGTTGTAAAGGTTTAAATCCAGAAATCTAGGTGGTTATAAAATGTGCAGTATGATTTATTAATAGAAATCAAAAAACTCAGTCAACTCGCTAACAGTTCAACAGATATGTTGGTTTGGGTTTTTTTTTCCTCTTTTGAGTTCTGGATAAATAAAACAATTCTTGGGTTCTTTCTGACAGATAAACAGAGGTCATATGACAACTGAAGCAAAGAGGGCTGCCAAGATGGAGAAGAAGCTGAAGATCTTGCTTGGTGGTTATCAGTCGCGAGCCATGGGCCTCATCAAACAATTGAATGATTTGTGGGACCAAATCGAACAGGCACATCTGGAGCTACGTACTTTTGAGGAACTAAAGAAACATGAAGATGCTGCAATCCCTCGGAGGCTGGAGGTGAGACTCCTGAATGTAATACCGTAGGTCAAGTACAGGCACTTTATGGAAAAGGTGTTTTTGCGGTGCATGGGCTCTGAGGTTCACAGCCTGAGTTTGTATCAAGTTTTTAATGGTCCTTTTAAATTATACTTTTGGCTATTACTAAACTCCTCTGCTGTTCACTTCCATATCAAAGATTCTGTGATATATATATATATATATATTAGAAGCTGGGACTAATCTACTAGTGTGTTCTTGAATTTTGTTTTTATTTTATTTTCTTGTGTGGTTTATTTTATTAATCTTCTGCAATGTGTATCAGCAGAAGTTCCATATCTGTCTTATTTGGCTTGTTTTGGTTTTAATTACTGTTAGAACTTAGGGTAGATCTGAAACTCATGTAAAGCCGCCTACTTCCTTAAAAGCCAGTGGACCAAATGCCAGTATATACTACAGGAGATTCTTCTCTCTTTTCACATGTTGATTGTATTACTCCCTGAATCTTAACTCTGTTGTCAGACTTGCAGATGGCTGGACTTGTAGAAAGCCAGTACTGAAATGGGGTTACTGTACTGATTTAAACATGGCTCTCAGTTTCAGAAGCTGAGCAGTTGTTCTGTAATTATATTTTCGAGCCATCCTCAGAGTTCGGGCCCTTTGCCTTCAGTCCTGTTGCTGGCTAACAACGTCTGCATGTGGACCGTTGCTCCTCAATAACACCACCTCCCTTACCAGCCTCTGACTGGTTGGCAGGGCTTTGAGGAGGAAGATACCTCTTTCTCTTAAGCAGCCTTAAGTTCAGCGCAGACCTAGCAGAAACAAGTACACTGAGATGCCTGAAAACAGTGCCTCAAAACCTCTGTTCGTAGTTTAAGGATCTCCAGGATATTCTTCTTTGCTTTATTGATCCAACCAGGCAACCTTCAATGAAGAACTGAGTCCTAGGCTTGAGCCGGTGCCAGGCTTGGCTTCCAAGAAATAAGGACTCGTCTGAGCACAATTTTTCTTTTAATTTTTTTTTTTTCCTTCCAGAAGAGAGTGTTCCATTGAGTCTGAAATCTTCACAACCACTTGCTATTAAAAAAATCATGGAATGGTTAGGGTTAAAGATTAAATGTATCAGTTCTTAAAACTGATTTTATGAAGACAGTTTAGAAATGCTTATAGATGTCTTCACAAACTCAGAAGTGATTGATTATTTAGTGAAAGTTAACAGTAAAAATGCATTAAAGAGCTTGAAAGCTACTAATAGCACCTGTTTTTAGTAAATGGCACTTAGAGCTGATTCTCAGAATACATTTACTGTCTCTTCTGATACAAGAGTGAAGGGAGATCAAATGAACTAGCAGCTGGCAGTTTTAGAACAAGCAGTAGTTCTCCTTCATGCACTTCTTGTGTAGTTAGTGGATAAAAGCCTGTGGAGGGCCCTGTTGCAGGATGCAGGGTTAATTAGGAAGGTTTTGAACAAACTCATTAAAGAAGAATCCGTGGATAACTGATAAATGCAGTGCACTGCTTGTGGCAGGTTTCCAATTTGAAATATCTCCTTTTGTAGCATTTGATATTAATTGCTGTCAAAACCAGGGCTAGGTACCTGATGTTTGAAGTAAGATAACGGTGATTCTTGCTACTCTACGTCAACCTCTGTGGTTTACATTTATATTTAAAATAAGTCATTTTAGCAATGTCTTATCTCAGTTCTGATCCCTTCCTCTGAAGGAACTAAAATATAACCTTTGGTGAAGATCTTCATGGGTGTCATTTTGGAAAAACTGACTGGTTGCTATGTTTTCCTTACAGTGTCTGAAGGAAGATGTACAGCGACAGCAGGAGAGAGAAAAGGAGCTCCAGCAGAGATTTGCTGACTTCATGTTGGATAAAGAGACTTTTCAAGCAAAGTATTAAAGCAGGAAATTCTGTTTGTCGCTGATGTAACATTTTTAAAGTGTACAGATACTTCTCCAGCAGCTTTTGCCATCAGTCACAGAAATCACATGTAACCTGTTCTTTGCATCTTGTCGAGTTTTGTTCCTTTAATGGACTATTCAAAATGCTGTAGGTGTGAATGGCTTTGGACATTATTAAAAATTGGATTGAAATGTCCAGAATTTTATTAAAAGGAAAAAAAAAATCATGCTGGTATGATGTTAGCTATGTCTTCATTTGCTAGGGTTATCACAGTATTCCTAGTGTTTTATCAGTCTTAAGACCTGTAAGATACATGCCTGCAGAATAATGTCTTTTGAATAAACCTGGAAATTAAGAAATAAAATTCCTGTCTTTTAAGTTAAACTGAATTCTCCCCTATCCCATACCTCTTCTGTGTTTCTTGTAAATTGTCTTTCTTCCCTTCCACTGCTGCTGCTTTATTTTCCAAGACTAATTTATAACAGGAAGGACCTGTGTGGAATAATTGTGCTCCACGTAATACCACGTTCCTGATTCTTCTCTGTGCGTGTGACTGAACACTCCCGTTTTTATTAAGATACTGAAATGGTCACACTGGCAGTAAGCATAACTTCAGCATCCTGAGACGGGGTAGGTTTAAATTCTGTAAAAGCACCCAGCGTAGTCCGTGGTTCTATGGTTCCCATAGATTCCAGCAGAAAATGTACCCTTAAATTTAGTAGATATTAATGCTTTTTAACTCATCTGTGCATAATGCACGTTGCCTCCAGCTGGTTGATGAACTGTTGACTTCTCTACAGTGAGCTGAAAGGTTTGGGTAATGTCACAGTTCTGCCTTGGCCCAAACCTGTGGAAGATGGTCGTGGAGCTGTGTCCATCTGTCTTACACATCACAAGCACCGGGACTCAGTTGGGATTATTGAAAGGGGTGAATGCATAATTTCCTGTTCATTGGGGTACTTTTCTAAATATCATCCAAAATCTTCCTCTGAGTACTGTTTAGCCCGATGACACTTGGGTGAGATATTAATGGTTTAAAATTTTTTCAGCTCTTCCCAATGCTTTCAATACATGCATTTCCCAGACTCAGACGTCTCATTACAGGATTGCTTTCATGTTTTAATTTCTGTGGAGATGTTTGTCACTTCTTCAGGGATCTGTCTTATTTCCAGCTATTACGCTTTGGGATGTTCAAGCAGTTGTTTGTGGAAAAACAAAAACTGGGAAAAAGAATTCTACTGTTAACAGCACAGAATTAAGCAATGAAATACATCCCGTTGCATGCATCATGCGATTTTGCCTGTACGTATTTGAATTTAACTGAGGACTTCCCTCTGCAGTTTTCCCAGGTTACAGAATGTCACTTTGTTCAGGCCTTGGGAATATTACTGGGGGACACTGTCAGGGCTGTGGCTGTGTAGCTATTTAAATGCCATCAAGGGTGATCAATGGTAATCAGAGATTTTTTTTTTTAAAGGCAGGCTCTCCGATTTCTACTGATCACTGGTAGGAGAAGGTACACAGCCAGCCTTGGAATCTCACCAGGACATCATTCTTCTGAAGTATTAATGCAATTATAGACTACATACTTCTAGAAATGTGTTAAATATTTCACTAAACCAGAACACATCTGGAAAGAAGTATTAAGCATCAATCTTTTAGCATATGGGGTATTTTAGCTTGGATGCTTATACCCAAAAGGAAAAATCATATAAATGTATATCATGGCAGTTCTTGTGGTTATGTGGTAGCTAGAGATATTAACAGAAAACCCTTGTAGGTTTACCAATACCACAATTACAATTATTTCCTTTCTTTTGAGGGCTGCAGCAGAGCCTCTTTGATGTTTCCTGTATTTTTGACATCTAGACAGGTATTCAAACATTCTGCTTTAGCAAATATTTTTAATGGCAAATTCAGGAGGACAGATAAATCACAAAAGACTTTTCTTTCTTGAAATGCCTACAATTAACCAGTTGTTAATCGCAGCAGATACAGATCTGTAGCATGTAAGGCAGCAGATAGGAGGTTATGTTTGAAACATACCTGCAGGAGATTTGGTCAGTGTTTTCTCCGGTTCTGTTTGTTTAAACAATGCTTAAGCAAGTTCACTGTTTTCCCCATCTCTAGTTTTGTCCTGAAGTTTCTGCCTGTCTCAATAGTGAAACAAAACTGATGAAACAGTTTCTTGCCTTACTTTCTTGCCAAAGGTGATGTTAAGCTGTAGAGACTCCCTCTTCCCCATCTTGTCTTTATCTTAGGTAGCTGCTGCTAGAGCTTTGGGCTTTCGTTTGGCAGACACAATGTATTGGCAGAGGTAGGACTAAGGCACCACTCCTGCTCCTTTTCCAGCACTGTTTCAGTGTCATGGGATAGTAACTTTTATCACTGGGGCATGTTTAAGATGTCTGAGGTTGTTAGTCCTGCATGTCATCCACAGCCTCGGTGCCTGCTCTAAGGCAGCCAGTCTTAGATCTGCTGAAGTCGCCCCTAAAACTTCCCCCTGGATGCTCTGTGCGTGTGTCTCTTGGATCCAGAAGGGTGTGAAAGGAGCAGCAGAGCCTTGCTAGGGCATCCTGAGGTCAAGGAATTCAGATGTCACAGCTTAAACTGGAGTGCTTAGGAAATCTGTTCAACCAAATTTGGATGCTGATGGATGTCAATGCTTGTGACAGCAGGTGGTGATGGAGCCTGGGCTTTCTACATCTCTTTCTTGAGCTTAGGTCCAGTTTATGCCCCCAAAAATGCTCTCTGAATCTCTTTCTAAAATGCTTTGTAGTTTAGTACAGATGTTTGGTGGACACAAGAGTGCCCAGCACACCTTGGCACCAAATTTTAGTAAGCCAGCCACTAATTTGGTCTTTGTTTCCAAGAACAGTCGTAAGTATAACCACACACAGCGCAAACTAGTTAAGAGTTTACCACAGTGGGTAAACCCTAACCTGACTGAGTGACAGAGGTGGGATGGGGTTTGTGTTGTATGTGTTAACAATTATTTTGAGGATTATTTAACATTCTCCCTGAGAAATTCCTTCGTTTCCATTTAGCGTGCCAAGATATATCTGCAAGTCTTTAAAGAATTTCAGCTGATGATTTTCCTCACTTTTTGGACTGAGACTTGACATTTACATATTGGATCAATCCTGTAGCTGGAGCCTGCTTCAAAGTCCGTGGAGTTGATAAGACTGACATTTACTTCAGTTGAGTTGGAATCAAGTACCTGGGAAAGCTAATGGGACAGCAGCGTTAAATTATAAGAGCCGAGTGTCTGATCCCTACCCGGCAGATAACAAAAATCAAACATGAGCTAGAGTTAAGGGGGAGACTTCTAAGGCACAGGAGGTTCCCTGTGAGAAATTCAACAGAGCCGGAGCCAGCTCTTCAAACCATGGCGAATCTCCAGAGAAATAAGCACTGTTTCAGTGTTGTAATTAGTCACTCCAGCCAGCAATGGCCAAGATACGCTGCAGTTCTCTGGCTTCCTTAAGCAGAGACAACAGTGCCAATAGGAGGAGCATCTTGTCTTTGCCCATTTCTGCTTGCTCTGCTTTTGCACCCTATTTTGCTGGTGCAAGCACTGGGACAGCCACATTTGGCTTTTAACGTGGCACTAATCCTGCTTGGTTCTCTGATCCGCTGTACAGATGCGAGCCGGGCCAGCTTTCGAGGTAGGAAATGCAAACAAAGGTGGAAGTGGGGCAGAATTGCCTCTGTCGGAGGCTGTGCATCAAAAACCATGCCTGAACTTTTAGTTTTGGCTGCAAACTCGCTAGCGGTATCTTAAACTAGTGTGTGAACTTTGGCTTGCCTTCGCTGTCCCAGGACAGTGATGTTGCTGGAGAAGATGACATTATTGTGGTCTGGATTTAATCTGCCTCACATTCATCTCAGGAATCCAGCTTGCAGTTATCTTCCACGCTGTGGGTTCAAAGCAACACCTGTCTTCCAAGCAGGATTTAAAAGTCAAGTATCAAATAGCATTTCCCTCATTTTCTTAGTTGAGTGAAACGCATGTTGAAAAATAGCCAGATACTCATCTAAAAGCAAAATGTCATTATTAACTGATTCCAGACTTGTACTTTCTGCCTTTTTAGGACTCCAGCTCCTACCTTTGCTTACCAACAACTGAAGAGCTGCTTCTGCTGATCGTGAAGATGTGCGCTCACACTAACTCACATGGGAACGAGATCAGACCCTGATTCAGGAAAGAATTTAAAGGACGTGCTTGACATATATGTAAGCCAATCTGTCCCCGTGTCTCCACTAAGTACATCCCATTGTCCCATCGCTTTAAAAGTTCACCATGGTCTCGAAGAGCTTTGTTGAATCAGGGCTTTAATGACTTTGAAGCAAAGGGGAGTAGAAACGGATAAAAAGAGGAGCTCCACTTTTTTTTGGTTGCATGCAGGCACTACCATTAGGTAAGTCTCTCCTCTCCCCCTCCAGCTAGACTATGGCTCATGAATTTTTGGCTGTATTTAAATG